AGCGATGTTTCACGTTACACTTTGTTTCTGTTGATTTTTCCCTGTGACCTTTGATCTTGTGCGCATTCTTCATTTTTTATCACAATGCTTAAAGCTGTTTAAAATCATCTAATAAGATGCTACTCTGGAATTTTATCCTCGCGAAAAAGTACTCATGGGCTCATTAAACTGTAAATTTTATACCAAAATTGGGTAACTATTACCGCTTTGCGATTTTTTGTTTCATGAATTCTGAGAACAGTATTTTTAAAAAAGAGTGGGTTTTTTGACAAGTTTTTGACCGCTATGAGGTGTCTGTGTCCCAAATGACAACAGACCCTCTACCGTTGTCATAGAAACCTTTTCTTCGTTCTCAAAAGTGACTTTCGTGAGAAACACGGCGGGTGTCCTGCAAGAAGCAGTCTTGCTTACCCTTCCGGAGCATCTGAGGTCGCCCCAGTTTTTCGGGGTCCGTGTTTCTCATATGTTTTTAGTTTTCAATGGTATATGTTGTTGTTTGTCCTCGGTTGTCAACACTTCTTTTTAGAGTAACCATTTACCGCGAATCGCTTTACAAATCCACACGCTTTCACTCACAAAAAAGAACAAATACTCATGCACAAACATACTCATTCACAAACAAATACCAACACAAAAATGCACCCATCAATGTACATAAATGCACAAAGTAATATACACTCACTCTCACACACAAATACACTCACACGTAAAAAAACCCAAATGAACACACACAATCACACACATATACACATACACATAAGCATATATACATACACATATACACATACAAATACACATATACACATACACACATATACAACATACACATATACATACACACAATCCCGTATACACAAAACACATACACATATACATATACACATATACATATACACACATATACACACATACACATATACATATACACTATATCGAGATAACGAAATACCTATATCGATTTAACGATATAAATATCGAGATAACAATATAAATATATCGAGATAACGATTTAATTATATCGAAATAACGATATATATATATATATATATATATATATATATATTGAGATAACGATATAATATTAATTATTTAGGTCCCCTATGGGCTTCCGTAGAATATAATGACTGAATTATTCGGGTAACAGTAGCTACCTTTCTGGATAACCTCGGTTTGGTGAAGGGTTCGTGTTGTTCAATTAGTGCAGCTGCTGCTACCGGATTACCTTTCTGGATAATCTCGGTTTGGTGTAGTGTTCGTGTTGTTCAATTAGTACAGCAGCTTCTGCCGGGTTACCTTTCTGGATAACCTTGGTTTGGTGTAGTGTTCGTGTTGTTCAATTAGTTTAGCAGCTACTGCCGGGTCACCTTTCTGGATAACCTCGGTTTGGTGTAGGGTTCGTGTTGTTCAATTAGTTCAGCAGCTACTGCCTGATTACCTTTCTGGATAACCTCGGTTTGGTGTAGGGTTCGTGTTGTTAAATGAGTGTAGGAGTTACTGCCGGATTACCTTTCTGGATAACCTTTGTTTGGTGAAGGGTTCGTGTTACTCAATTATTGTAGCAGTTACTGCCGGATTACCTTTCTGGATAACCTCATTTTGGTGTAGGATTCGTGTTGGTCAATTAGTGTAGCAGTTACTGCCGGATTACCTTTCTGGATAACCTCGGTTTGGTGTAGGCTTCGTTTTGCTAATCAGTGCAGTAGTTACTGCGGGGTTACCATTATGGATAACCTCTGTTTGGTGTTGGGTTCGTGTTGTTCAATTAGTGTAGGAGTTACTGCCGGATTACCTTTCTGGATAACCTCGGTTTGGTTTAGGGTTCGTGTTATTCAATTAGTGTAGCAGATACTGCCGGAATACCTTTCTGGGTCACCTCGGTTTGACGGAGGGTTCGTTCTGTTCAAATAGTGTAGCAGTTACTGCCGGGTTACCTTTCTGGATAACCTCGGTTTGGTGTAGGCTTCGTTTTGCTAATAAGTGCAGTAGTTACTGCGGGGTTACCATTATGGATAACCTCTGTTTGGTGTTGGGTTCGTGTTGTTCAATAAGTGTAGGAGTTACTGCCGGATTACCTTTCTGGATAACCTCGGTTTGGTTTAGGGTTCGTGTTATTCAATTAGTGTAGCAGATACTGCCGGATTACCTTTCTGGGTCACCTCGGTTTGACGGAGGGTTCGTTCTGTTCAAATAGTGTAGCAGTTACTGCCGGGTTACCTTTCTGGATAACCTCTGTTTGGTGTAGTGTTCGTGTTGTTCAATTAGTGTAGGAGTTACTGCCGGAATACCTTTCTGGATAACCTTTGTTTGGTGTAGGGTTCGTGTTTACTCAATTATTGTAGCAGTTACTGCCGGATTACCTTTCTGGATAACCTCGGATTAATTTAGGTTTCGTCATTGCAGAGAAACTGATGACAGTATTAATCAAAGTACTGAAGTACTGAACATCGGATGACAGCAAGTTCTGGTGGATAGTCACAGTCACTCGTCTCAGAAAAAATAATATATCTCAATACCTGAAAGTTAGGTTAAGGTACATAGATTTATTTTTTTTCTGAGACAAGAGAATTCAACTTCACCGTAATTATTATCATATTGTAGTGATATAATCATGGGACAATCATGTGTTATCAGTATAATCTGGTTTGTTGTTATATATTTTATTAATATTTGTACAACAGTTATATATATAGCAGATCATCTATATATTTCTCACGACAAAACATTTTCATATTATTTATCTATGTTCTTAAAAAATATTTTCATGAGTATTCATTGAAGAAATAAATTTATAACAAGCGATATGGAATTTTATTTATCACACGATAATATCTTCGTATTTATACGAAATACGTTCGGTTATCAGTCAAAAACGCAAGTCACGTGAGTAGAAATGTCTGCGGCAACATAACACCGGAATGCCCTCAAGGTTATCCGCTGTATTAATGTTGCTGAATATCATATTTTGTTTTTCGTTTATTATTTTGTACATAAATCAGGCCGTTAGATTTCTCGTTTGAATTGTTTCATATTTGTCATTTCGGGGCCTTTTATTGCTTACTATTCGGTATCGGTTTTGCTCATTGGTAAAAAAGCGTACGGTGACTTATTGTTGCTGACCACCTTAATGAAAATAACACAATATAAATCTTGTGCGTCCGAAGCGCTTTTCTGTATTTACCTTCATCAGGATCGCTCAAAAAAAAATATGTTAAAGCAAGGGATGTATGAATACATAGACACGTCAGGAGTTACATGGCCAAAAGGGACCTAAACATCATAGTCAAATTCATTTAAGGTCAACATTGCATGAGGAGCTGGAATCTTAGTTTCTTCATAATTTTTAAATTTATTAGCAGGAAATTTTAGAAAAAATATGCCATAAATCATGTCTTTACCGAAACACTGACTACTGAGAGGATGATACTCTCGGGGACAAACAGTCCACCAGCAGTGGTATCGACCTAGTGCTAGTAAATGAAAACTTCTCCCACCCGAAAGTAGAACCTACATGCATTTCTATAAGGACGAACGTTTCTCCTATAACTGTATATATGTTACAATGAAGTTGTAAATCGGCAGTTTTAGGAATTTTGTAAATCCCTGAAATTGTTAGGAATTTTATAGAATCAGTTAAAATATTGCTAGTGATTTTGTAAAATCCCCTATTAACTGTTTAACCCATATACATGTTATTTCTAATTTAGAATAAAATTTCATTATACTGGAACAAAATGCTATACTTGATCTATAACGTGTCATGGTGTAAACTAAATAACAAATAGCAAGTCACTATCTTCAAGCATGATGAAAAAAGGTGTGGAAACTGATTATTTGAGTGAATTTTCCAAGGACCATAACTCTGCACAAAATCATCAGACCGGAACAAAATTCGTATTTGATCTGTAACTTGTCATTTTAAAACTACATACCAATTATCAAATCAAAATCAAAATAGTCGTGTGCATGTGAGTAAGAATGAGCGAGTGATTGGATGGGTGTGTAGTCAAATTACATTCGTATTTCTTGTCTTGTACATATTGTCTTGTCTTGTGTTATTATTTTACATTATTTGTAAACTAAAAAAATCTTTGTTAATTGTGAATCTGTATATATCTATGTTGAGGAGACCCACACGTAGCCTCTGGCTGTTGGCAATCCTCTTTAAATAAATAAAGAATTAAATTAAATCAATATCTTCAAGCATGACCAAAAAAAGGGTGGAAAACTGATTATTTGGGTGAATTTTCTAAGTCCAAGGACCATAACTCTGCACAAAATCATCAGATCGGAACAAAATTCGAACTTGATCTGTAACTTGTCATGATTAGACTATTTACCAATTATCAAATCAAAATCTTTAAGCACGAAGAAAAAAAGTGCGGAAAACTGAATATTTTAGTGAATTTACTAAGTCCATGGACCATAATTCTATACAAAATCACCAGAACGGAACAAAATTCGAACTTGATCTGTAAGTTGTCATGATGAAAATATATACCAAATATCAAATCAATATCTTCAAGCACGAAGAAAAAAGTGTAGACAACTGATTTGCCGGACTGACGGATGGACAGACAGACAGACAGACAGACAGACAGACAGACAGACGGACGGACCAGGATAACGCTCCCTCCCCCTTGATCGAAAAAAAGAATAATCTCGTGTTTCTTACAATTTATATGAATTTTTAAGCATAAAATCGTTCCATAAAATTGGTTTTCCATTCTTTCCTCATTTGCTTTTATAATTATTATATTTTTGCAGGTGAAATTACTTATCTACGCAGCTCAAAATTTAGAAGACCAAATCATACTGACATCTATATTTTTCATCCCCTTTAATCCGTTTGTTCTCATCTTTAGAGAGGCAGTGTTAAATACAATCTTAAGATAGTAAGTCCATATAAAACAGGAAGAATGTTTGTTTTAAATCTATTATTTTTTTCAAAAATTCTCTGAATAAAACCGGAAACTTTGAAGAAAAAAAAATATGAATTACTTCAGTGATTTTGTAAAATCTAACTATGAATTCCCTAATAACTTCAGTGGTGATACAAAACTCCTGAAATGTCATAGATTTTACAAAATTACTAATTTTACAAATTCACTGTAACATATGCAACCACGTCCGGTTGAAATGGGTACATAAAATTCGTTGTCTGGTGTTGGGAGAGTACAACACCCTCGTCACTTTAAAGAACCATTGAAACAACATCATCAAATACCTGTACTGATGAAAAAAGTATTATGTTGTTTAAATTGCAAGGTAAACTTTAATAAGAAAGCTAAATCTAAGATGTAAATGACAAATAAAAGAAACTATAGCTTTAAATAGAAAAAAAAATTGTGAAAAATGTTCGATTCAATTCCTCTTTGTTACGCCGTTTTCAGTCAATTTATTTGCGTCTGTCATTTAAAGCCTTCAGGATCCTAGACAATAAGAGTTTTGCCTTGAGATCCCTGATTCTATTTATTCTGGATACTAATGAAACAGCTTTTGATGATGATTCGTCATTGCTAGACTTTTGGTCATTGCTTTGTCCTGTGGGCTTTGGACGCATTGTTTTGCTATCGCCATCTGTCTTAGGACCAGCCGTGGGTTTTGGACGCATGGATTGGCCATCACCATCTTGCTTAGCAGTATCATCCTTGTCATCAACATACATTCCCTCGTCTTTTTTTCCACCATCTGGTTTCTTGTCCATTTTTTCTATGGCATCGCTCTTCAGAGCTTTGTTGAAAGATTCTGTACCAACATAACAAATTGTTTAAATGTACGGTATTATGCAGGTATATAACAAATTATAATATCCAAGCACCACTAAGTAGTATACATAGATGAGTTTGAACCACATTTACATTGCGTGTAATCATAAACGATTATAATCAGTTGATGATGAATTTTCAATTTTGCCACTGCTGCTGAAAGACGTTTGATTGTACTAAGCGCTATCTGTCCATTTAAGTCGGGACAATCGAGAAACTGTGTCTTACATCACATAATAAAATGATGAATAAAACTTTTATAAGCTTAACTAATATGTATACTTTTAATACTCTTTTATTATAGATTGATTTACCTGGATCGGTATACTCGGAGCCGTCTATTGTAGCAATAACTTCAAGGAATCGACCAAGGGTGAACATCTCTGATACACCAATGGAGATTTTTTCCAATATTGCGGCCATGGTGCCCACTGATTTCAAGTCATCTTCTGTAAAAGATAATATATTTCTATCAAAATTGAGGGGAATATTGTGTACATGTACAAAAGCCAACATTCCCATTACATACTTCAAAGTAATCACATATCAAAAGAATAATGCGTTTATTGCAATTATTTATTTTAAGATTGACTGGAAGATCATTTTCATGTAATACTATATATCATTGAACATTCTCAATTATTAGATTGATTTTTGATTTGTTTCATGTTGTAATGTCTCATTTCATTAATTTCATGAAAGAAAAAAGTAAAATAACAAAAATACTGAACTCCAAGGAAAATTCAAATCGGAAAGTCCCTTATCAAATGGCAAAATCAAAAGCTCAAACACATCACATAAAAGAATTTATCGAAAGAAGTTGATTTCTCGTTTTCTTCTTATCTGCTGTTAGAGAACTCCTATCCATTTAAGTATGAAGAAGTATACCAATAGAGTAAACATATACCTATCTTGTTCACACTACATGCTACTAAGTCAAAACATATATGTCATGTGTGTCACGGCAGGATATGTTCACACTACATGCTACTAAGTCAAAACATATATGTCATGTGTGTCACGGCAGGATATGTTCACACTACATGCTACTAAGTCAAAACATATATGTCATGTGTGTCACGGCAGGATATGTTCACACTACATGCTACTAAGTCAAAACATATATGTCATGTGTGTCACGGCAGGATATGTTCACACTACATGCTACTAAGTCAAAACATATATCTCATGTGTGTTATTTACGGCAGGATAAGACCAAAAACTTGTAAATTGGTATTTGCTGCTTCCCCGACATGGCAATTAATTTAAAGAAAAGAGACTGGTTGGGTCGGAGTGTGAACTGTTATCCTTTGCAATAGCTCGTGGAAAATCTGACTCAGCGTGTCGGTCTAGTACAAAGCATGGCTAATATTCATATGCATATTCGTTTGACAAATTCTCGTCCTGATATGCATGTTATATTTCCACTGGACGTTAAACACCAATTCATCACATGACCCAAGAATAAACCAACCTGTTAGGTCACTTATGTCTAATACATTCTCCATCGTTCTCCAACCATTGTATCCACAGGTCAAAATCTGTACCAATGCAGCGAGTTTTGCATCTTCAAAAGTAGCCTCTGTACTAAAATCTGTTGCCATGTATTCTGTAGGTTTTAATTTAATAGGAAAATTTGATTCTATCAATAATTAAAATGCAAATTGTAATTTTGTACTCAATACAGAACAATATTTAGTAGCAGGAAGAACGTTTTTGTAACAATGTTATTAACAAGATTAAAAACAATTTCAACAACCCGTGAAGAGTACTGAATCAGAAATAACACAGAAACAACGGCAAATTCAGTGGTTCAATATTGATAAAAGTTTATACTGTTTAACCGATAGTTTATTTCGGGTTAACTGTCATTTTGCATGGCGTAATTTTTGTCACTTACTCGAGTGCTTGATAAACTTCAAATTTTACAAAGCAACTCATATAGTCGTCAGCTCATATAAACATGAAGACGAATGCCTAAGTATAACGGAAAAAGACGTGATGATTGATTTTAGTAGTTAACTTACTTTAAAATATTGTAACAAACCTAGGGTTGATATAACACTGTTTAGCTTATTCAGGAGGAGTGGAATAATCTTTTAACTCAACGCCAGTGTGAGGAAACAGATTCGTAATAAACGTAACAATAAAATTTATTTCAGCAGTATTTTTGACTTGTTATTTCAATAACAACAAATACACATTCAGCATTCAACAGACAAAACAATGCACCGGGTGGTCACTATAACTTAAGACTAATTATAACCTATGAACATTTGAGAAACACACTGGAAAATCACATAAGTAATGGTCTCTTTATCAATGGACAATAGAAATGACTTGTAAATCCCGTTAGGTAAAGAATGGCAGTTTAGCGCTAAAAGTTTAATTTGGCTAAAAAGATTAATATCTAAATATAGATAAAAGTATTTAAATTATTGTTTGTACCTTTCTCATTTAACTTTGATTATTCGATTTTCTATTTGGATATTTTAAAATGTAGTTGATGGTTCAAAGGATTGATTCAGACTGCCATGTTATTCTGCAGGCTCCTATTTATGTATTTTTGCACTAACGATGACGTAAGAGTAAATGTCAAATCATCCAATAAAAAGCAACGTTTCTTACGTCTTTTGGCTAGTAACATTTAGAAAGACAAACATATTTCGTTATTTAAGGAATGACTGTAATATTTTTTCTGTCTATGAAGAAATAACATCAAAAATGTGGTGCACACTGAATAACCCGCGTAGCGGGTTATTTTAAATTATCGCACCGCGGGTAAAGTATCACGTTGTGATTGGTTTAACGCCGTCACGTGGTGACCCCCTATGGATCCGTAGGGGGTTAGTAAATTCCATAGTGGGTTCATGACGTCACGTCTACTGTTAATGGTGACGTCATCTAATGATGTTTTTGTATTTCATTGTTTATTTTTCTACAAAACGCTGCAGAAAAAGTATCGCGTGCGATAAATTCGTTATACGGTTAACTACTGACCCCCTACGGACCATAGAGGGTGAATAAAATCCATAGAAGATTCGGCCTCCGGCCTCACCCCCTATGGATTTTACTAACCCTCTATGGATCCGTACGGGGTCAGTAGCGAACCATATAACTTATAGTGTGCACCACATTTTTTATGTTATTTCGAATAGACAGAAAAAATATTACAGTCATTTCTTATAATTTAATTCTTAATTCCATTTTAAACCGGAGTAAACCATGAAAAAACGTTGATGACGTCATGGTCACATGACAAAATTATGTCTATGAGCTGATAAACAAAACAACGTCAGCCAATCAGAAAACGCGTTACATCTTAAATTAAATTATTCATAAATAAAGAAACGTTATTAAGTAGTCCTTACTTTGTCCTTCTTGACCGAATTATATTTAAAAGCGAATAAAACTAAAAGGACATTTCTATATAATGCTATTTTTAAACGGACAGTAAATTCCCTTTCTCAATACGGTGTAGGAACTTAGGTGTAATTTCTAAAACCTTACGCATTAGATATAATGCTTAAATGAGATCAATGAAAACTCTATCCTATCATTAATATAGACAATGTTAATGAAAAGGGAGGCACAAACATAATAAATACGCAATTTATCTGCATTGATAAGATGTTAACTTAAACAAATAATGATATGAGATCGCAAAGTGAAAGTACAGAACGGTGTCATTGCGGATGTAAACAAGTTGAATCTCCCGACAAGATTTGTCAAGATAAATCACTATTTGACATGATAATCAAAGTATTTCATAGGTAACCATTACATAGATAAAGATATAAAACTGGCCCTTATCACTTGTAAAGTATAAATGGTTAAATCGTGAGTATGAAAGTCAATGCATTTATCAGTGTTTGTGCACACCCGAGAAGTTGACCACCCGGCAATATTCAAATAAATTTATGTTTAAATACAATTAATAACACATGAAATAATAGCAATTATCAGTCCAGAATTGTCACAATATTATGGAAATATCACTTACCTTTCTTACAATCATCCAAGAAAAGACTCTTTGGACCACCTGTAAAACAAATTGAGGCATACAGTGACTTCCGCTTCAGCATGTAAACTAAACATTAAGTGATTTCTTTTACTGTTCTTTATTACGAGGTTTTTTGGACAAAATATTGGTAAAATATTTCTCTGGCTGTCTGCTTCCGGAACAAATTTCGGAAAAGTATTGTGCATAAAAAAACAAATAAAATCTAATTAAAATGATGTCGCCAGTTTTGCATAAACACTTGTGAGGAAAATCACATTTTGTGAAATATATTACGAACCTCGTTCAAACAGATACGTGATAGTTCTATATATTTGGAATAACACTGTTGTTCATATCTAATATCTGATGAAACAGCTACTGGGACCAACTAAACCAGATCTGTTAGCTATTCCTTGAATTGTTTTTGCTCAATTTTACATTAAATGACCCCACCATGAACTCATTATACACAAGGCATATATGAAAATATATTAGTATTTTATGAAAATATATTAGTATTTTATCTTATGATTACTATAATCTTAGTTCCAAAAGTACATGTACAGAGTGGTAAATCATTGATGCGATAACTGATAATTTTCTTTACAGTTTGAGGGTATACGATTGGTATGTTGGTTAATTACAATGCATTACTGCTGATTAGACAACACGACGGATGCCACAACAGGAGAAGAAACCGCGTACCCGTAAGGGTCTATAGTCCAGTTTACAGCTTGTTTGAGTAAAGTCCAGTTTTCTAAATATTTAGATCCAACGCTAAAAAGTTATTCTTTACTATTATTGATCTTTTTGTCTTTATTCTTTATTCATTTTTTTGTCATCGTTTTATTATTTGTTCGACCTTATTATTGCCCCCCCCCCTCTTTTGATATTTTCTCATATAACTTGTCCACTGGTGTTTTCCAGGAATACAGAAAATGAATACATGTATGTTTTGAGCTATCCATACCTCCAACATTTGGTAGGTAGGAATCCATAATCCACAAATGAAAGAGAAGTTCTTGTTCTTCTTCAGTAAGTTGCAGTTCTGTGGTCCAGTCATCTGAAAACAATCACACGTTGAATCACTTGACATTTAGAGAAAACAGAATATGAGCAGTTCTATAATGTTTCATGCTAATAATGATGCTTTATCTTTTCGCCAACGACGAGCGTCGAAAAATTTTTTTTTCTGATGTCGTTGGCGTCAATTTTTCAGAATAGATCAGTATGGGAAATTGTAAATGATAGACCAAAACACATTTGTATAGCATTATAGCATTCGTTAATCTCAGAACTTATGATATCATTTCAAATTGCTCATTTTCTGTTGGCAGGATTTTTTTTCATTATCCAAATATTTAACTATTTGTTTTCATTATGTTTATTTATGTTGCGTAGACGAACTGAAAATCATAAGACCATTTATATTATACATGCTTTCGATCTAGAATTCAAGCATCTCAGCTTAAAGCAGAATATGAGGACCAACCTTTCAGCTATATACGTCAGTAGCTTTCAAATTTAGGTGCTACTCAAGACGGAGCTAGGTACACGGATATGTGCGACAGTTTTACGTAGATTAAGCTTAAAATGCAATACAGTTTTCTGAAGTAAAACAAATCATAAATCGAAAAAGTCTGAAAATCATTGCCTCGTATATAATTGTAAACATTTATTTTTGTTTTTTGCAGAATTTGGAGTTGATGGTGGATATTTGATAGAATCTATTTAATTCATTCAGAACTTTTATAGACTCGGTATACGATCAAGAGCTTGGAATCGTACAGACACCTGTCTGTCGATGAAGACAGTACATGTTTACCTCTACAAGTCTTTGGGTTATTTTTGTCGTAGGTGCAGTGTCGTTGACATAGATACATAAGCTTGAAATAGATTTTAAACAAAGTCGTTTGCTTATAGATTGTCAGGTACCAAAGAAGTAAAAATGAAGATCGTGACAAGTACAAATAGTACTTACGTTCTATTATCTTTTGGCTTATAGCTTCGATGTCACTCAAATCCTTTTGGACTGATTGAAGAAATTCCCGTACTTCCACAGTTGTTGCCTCTCCTAGTTGTTTTTCTAAGCCCTGTCGGTCATATGCGTATCTCACAACATTGTGCAGGTCGAACTCACGCCTCTATAAAACATAAAACACCAGTAAAAGCTCACTTCATCTTAATATATATCCTTCATACATTTTAACACGGGTGTCATTCGGTATATCGAGAAAAATGATCGTGAAAGAATACCTTATGGTGGTCAAGTATTGTGATTGGATCGTGAAAGCTCTGGTTTAGGATCGCGAAGGAAATCTTATCGAGAAGACATATGCAAGGTCAATTACTAATCTAATTTAATAAATTATACGGACAAATTTACCAAAAAATAAAACTGTCTGTCAAAATGGTTCAACATTATGATCAGTATCTGAGAAAAATCCAGATTTAAAAGTACACCGTTTTTACAAAACTACAAAAGGCAGATTGCTCCTCGACATTTCAATGGCATTAACTATGTAAACAAAGAAGATTTTTTTCATAATTCGAATGACTAAACAACTTTTCTTTGTAAAATGTCATTCCATTTTAATGATTCAAATGGTTCTTAAAGTTACTTTGTATTACTAGTATAATCAGAAATTTTGCAAAAAATGAAATATTTATAAAAAAAATTGATTTTTCGGATCGTGAAAGATCGCGTACCGCTTTTTGAAGATTGTGAAAAGGGTCGTGAAAAATCTGATGCTACGAAAACGATCAAATTATTATTTGATTATAGGATAATTTATACTTTTAATTGGTATAGCAAATACTGGATTTGCATGACTTATTCCGGTTCTCTTTTGTTGGTGAATAGGGCTATAATCGTTCAATGCCATTGGATCTGATTATCTTATAATACCATACCGACTAGGTGCCTTATAGCAATATCCGTCTATTTGTCCGTTCTTCATAAATTTTGATTTCTCATACAAATTTAAGACTAAAAATAGAACTTAATCGGCTAAATTACTGTTCAAGCTGGGCATCATGCACAATCGAGGTACGTTGATTGGCAATTTCCCCACTAAGTTGGGTACAATGACGTATATATAGCTATTGTGAACAGACTGATCAAACAATCAAGTAAAAATAACGTTATCTTGGCACCTTTTTAGTTTATGTCAGCGCAGCCACGAAATAAACATTAAATTAGCCAACATTGCCATACTATGTAGGCACGAACGACACTCCATATGTAACTGAAAGTAACAACCCTTGCACATAAAAAAAAAACAAAATGCGAACACATGCATATATTTCCATGGCGGATGCAATAAGCATTATAGATACATATATACTTTAACTTTACGACAATTTACACTCCTGAAGGTCCTATCATCTTGTAAATCTACTTATCTAGACACGTGTTTAGTTATTTAAATAACTTCTAAGGAAAAGTGTTGAAATAAAAAAAAAAGTGAAAATGAAATGAAAGCATTAATGTTCGTTCTTATTAAAATAATTACACGCTTCAACTAGTTGCAACTATATCAATTGATAAAAGAAATATTGTTTTCTGATTAGTTAGTCTGGTCCGGCGCGGGATGTTTGCGCTTTTTGGTAGGACATTTGCGCTTTAAATTTTAGGACATTTGCGCTTTTTCAATAGGATATTTGCGCTTAATCAACATAATACAAAACAAAAAAAATATTTAATATAAAAAAAAAAACACAAAACATTCATATATTAATATACAGTTAAAAGCATCAACCTTTCCCCATCATGCTTGTGTCAAATGAAAACAACAACCCTCCAATAGGGTGGATGGGAGTAAATTCCTTATAACAACCATGACTCTTTCTAAAAGTCAACAGGTACAGCGGGTGGTTTAACAATAAATTTTCGATCTTCACAAATTTCACGATCAAGATAATGCGTTGCCCGATCTTTCACGATCAATTTTGATGAAAAATCAACAAAATTCAATGTTTTCAAAAACAAAATAAACGGTTTCAAGGGGAAAAAAACTTTTATTTTACTGTTCTATCTGACACAGCAAAGATTCAGTTTCAAATATATCATTATATATTGGAATGTGACCATTATAAGTACAAAACGTGTTTTTCTTTTAATGAATCCCATAGACTTGTGTTGCGCCTTTTGTGTTTTTTTCATAAAGTACTGCGTATTTTCTTTATGTTATTGCACAGCATTATTAAGAAAGTTGAATCATTTTGACACACATATATTTTTTTTCGGATTTGTTCTGCATTTTGAAAATACAGCAGATTTTTCGCAGATTTTGAAGTAGAATTAAAATTAGTTACATTCACGATCCGATCGCAATGCTTGACCACCGTTGGGTATTCTTTCACGATAATTTTTCTCGATATACCGAATGACAGCCGTGTTTTAGTATAACATTCAATTTACATACTTATAGAGAGAGCTAGATAACATAGGTAAAAGAAATACAACGCTTTGATAAATAACCAAAACTTAATAAAATCAAAATCTTGAAAAAAAACTATAAAAATTTCCAATGAAGCAGAAACTGGCCAAATAAAAACATGATTGCAGTGGGAAGGCTGCTGTTTTGAAAGCTAATATCATATTTTAAAGAACATATTGTACATGTTGTTTTAACAATAAATGACTTAACGTCTATGTAAGTCTAAATGTCAGATAACGATATTAGAAGCATCACAGCATTAGGTTTACCATTTTAAGTGTTTATCGTCATTATACACAGAAGAAAAATATGATATAAAGAATTCTGAATGATTTCAGTCGACATTTTCATAAACTGTATTTCCCGAGTTCAATGTTGTAAGGCCAGCTTAAATACGATGTTGAAGTGCTCTGCAAGCAAAAAATCAAAAAATTGTGCCAAATAGGTCTAACGCTATTGTTAACTTTCTATTTTATCTTTTTTGCACATGCATAGCAACCTTCAGAAGGAGGCTCCCATGTTGGCTGGATCTGTGAAATCTTGTACCTTTTGATGCCAACTCGTACGATAACAAAGGAGCATACCATTTGACCACAAATTCGTATATCGGAGTATCAAAAAGTATCACAGAAATATACGGACTTCGTTCTCAAAGGTAATTCATGTCGTACATTAGTATGCATTTACAAAAGGAGATGGTATTACAAATGATTCACTTACCTGCAACTTTTTGATTGGCGATGACTGACAAATCAAAACAGAAGCCAAGAAAATACACGCGAAACACAACTGCCTCATGCTGCTGCTATCTTATAAGTTTGTTCACTCTCTAAATTTGTTGTTCATGATAAAAGTTTTATAGAATTTAAGTCTCTTTATATAAAAACCGCTGAACCATGCCCACGATTTGTAAGCTTCAAAGTTTTAATATGACGGTTACACAATTAAAACTGTAATCCGTCTCTTTATCCCAGTTTAATTATGATCATGTTCTGCGTTTTTAACCTTTAGTTTCTTTCTAAAGTGTTTTAAGATTAAAAGAGGCATCTGAAGGTTTGGAACATCTCAATGAAAATAATGTACCTTAAGACAAATTTATTAAATCAACTGTCTCGATAAGTGAATACCATTTTTTTGAGTGAATGAAACTGCTGTCATGGAAATAACCCGTCATAATCATGTTTATCCTAGGATGAATTTATCAGTACGAGTATATTGATGTTATGAAAAGTTGCTGTCATTACACTGTGAATGTTTGCCAAAAAAAACCAACAACCAGTGCTAGCAGCAGATCCTTACAGATTTGGTGTTCCGTTATGTCTGCGCGATGCGCATGTCTTTAAAGCACTATAAAGGTTTCGTTGGATAAAGGTTGATGAAACCACAACCCAATAACAGGTTACACGTAATTGAAGTCAAGACAACGTACCCTTTCTGTTCCCTTTTATTACGTGATTTGAAGTTATTATATACAGTCAATAGCTATTAGCGATTTAATAAAAGCTATAAAAGGAATGAGCCTCCTCGTGGGTTTTTTGATTATGTGATTACTTGGCCGTTTTTATAGTGATTATTTGATTACCAGACCAAATATTTCACGATTATTTGATTATTTGATAATCTAAGACTGTATTTTTAGTTATTTGATTATCTTGTTTTAAAAAATAATTAAATGATTATGTGATTATATTGGCAAAAAAATTGAGATTATGTGATTACTTGGACACCCCCATAAGGGGCCTCAGGAATAAGAGGACTATTATGCATTTTAAAAATAACTTCTGCATCGTATTATAAAAATTCTCAAGAAAAGAATTCTTTCAATTGTGTATGACTTGACCAACAGCAATTTCAGTTGGGTAAGAAGATATTATTCTCTAAAAATAAGAAAAAGACCCGAGTACACTGAAGTTGATCATTAGTCCACAAGGGGTTGACCATACAATCATATAAATGAAAGGATCAAAAAGACAAACAACAAAACAGAAAATACTACAGAGAAAAACTAAATATCGAAAAAGATTCGAATAATTCAATTATGTTCTTATAGTATCATATTATAATACTTTTCATGAAATACGTTATGTTATAGATATTTCATATCTTTTGGATAGTTTTGTGGTGTTTCGTAAATTATACCATAGCTTTTTGTTGAAAGCCCCGGCCTTAACCTCACGAGACCGAAGGTCGAGTGAGGTTGCCGGGGGTTTCAACAAAAACTATGGTATAATTTACGAAACGCCACAAAACTATCCAAAAGATATGAAATATCTGTTTTAACCTATAGCATCTTTTCATGTTTAAAATTTTATACTTCATTTTTTTTGTATGTTTAATTTAAAAATAATTTTGATAAAAATCAGCTAAATAACCCTTTTCTGGCCTTACACACAAAGCTCCGCCTACTTTCTTAAATAAGCACGGGATTCTGAAACCGCGGGAATATCAGTTAGACCTGAATTTTCGACACCGAAGGATGCACAATTACATTGGTGGCGGATAACGTTACAGATCTAGACGAAAACATGGCGAAGGAATTAGATTTTCTGGATATGGACGCAAGATAAGTCACAGATTTTCTGATATTTGGAAGCTCTCTTGAATCCCAGATTTAGGGTTAGTTTTTATACGCCCGTCAAATTTTTGACGGGACGTATTATGTTATACAAATGTCCGGCGTCTGTCCGTCTGTCTGTCTGTCTGTCTGTCTGTCTGTCCGTCTGTCTGTCCGTCTGTCTGTCTGTCCGTCTGTCTGTCCGGCGTAAACATGTCGCACCGTAACTTGAGAATGACTTATCCAAATTTCATGAAACTTCAACATAGTTGTTTCTTATGATGGTCAAACGGTCTGTATACTTTTTGGTGAAAATAAGATTAAAACTTTTTTGAGTTGCGGGACTTAGTAACTAAAACAGGTGTGCTTTTTTTCACATGTCGCGCCGTATCTCAAAAACAATTTATGATTATTGCTTAAAACTTTACACACTTCTTAGTTATATTAACGTTAAGATCTGTATACTTTTTGGTGATGATTCAAAATTTTATTTTTGAGTTATTGAGTATTTTGTAAAAAAAGGGGAGGGGTTTTTCACATGTCGCGCCGTATCTCTAAAACGATTTATGATTATTGCTTAAAATTTTACACACTTCTTAGTTATATTAATCTAAAGATCTGTATACTTTTTGGTTTTGATTCAAAATTTTATTTTTGAGATATTGATTTTTTTTTTTTAAAAGGGGGGGTTTTCACATGTCGCGCCGTATCTCAAAAACGATTTATGATTATTGCTTAAAATTTTACACACTTCTTGGTTATATTAATCTAAAGATCTGTATACTTTTTGGTTTTGATTCAAAATTTTATTTTAGAGATATTGAGTTTTTTGTAAAAAAAAAGGGGGTTTTCGCATGTCACGCCGTATGTCAGAAACTATTTATGCTTATTGCATAAAAATTCACACACAAGACGACGGGCGTATCATGCGCTCATGGCGCAGCTGTTTATTATTTATTTCATCTCAACGTTCGAAATGTTAAATTGTTTTTATTATTAAGGATTATGTACCCTTGTGTTGATTCAATGCTAAACATATGGAAATGTTATAGAAAATCCAGTCTTTCCACTTGTACTCTCATATTTGGCAATTCGGTGCTTGATAGAAAGAGGATTATTGCATGGAGTGCTAGCAATGATTTCCTTAAAACAAGTTGATAAATTTAGATATTGGTTAAAACAAATATAAATATGGACCAATTCAAGTACACCTTCTAGGGTGCGCCCGACTTTATTGACTCTGCACGAGTTTTTTTTTAATTTAAAGATTGTTGAGGACTTTTTGTAAACAATTAACGCTAGAACATCATAGAAAAACAAGTGAGTAATCTATGTTTAAAATTTTATATCAAAAATCTCTGTATTAAAGTCTGTGGATTTTTTACAAAAATCTTGGTTTTATTTTCCACAAAATCCTCTTTTTCTATTAAATGCAATGAAACAATAAATAATAATGCTTTGCACGAAGTTACCCCTTAGTATATGTACAATATGACCCATCTCTATTATTCATTATCTTTGCTGTTTTGAGACTATTGCAGTTTGAAAATTTCGTAATTCACATGGCTACAGAAGGGGTTATAAACCTTAATTTTTAATAACGAGGAAATTAATTTCACCAGAGCTTTTAAAGTCATACATTAATTAAAAGGGATTTCAAAATTATCACGATTATAATCATGCACATGTTGATTATAGGTAATTCAGTGGCGAATCCAGAGGGGGGGTTGGAACCCCCCCCCCCCCCCCCCCCCCCCCCCCTTTTTTTTGGACGATCAATGCATTTGAATGGGGACATATAGTTGGAACCCCCCCTTTTATCCTCGGTTGGGGACCCCCTCCCCCCCCCCCTTTTTTTAAAAATGGCTGGATCCGCCCCTGTTATTTATACAAAAAGTTGAGCATTTTGAGTAACCAGTTGCTATCTAATTTTAACGGTCCAACATTATTGTTATAAAAAGTCTAATGTATTTATCATATATATGAAGCTGCTTAAAAGGGGCGTGCCATTTTTTCCATCCCTCTTAAAAAAAAAGCCTCGGCAAATTTAAATCTAGACACGTAGCTGTACAATGGAACCTATGATGATACAATCTAAGTGTATATTTCAATAACTGAAAATCAGCTGATATTTTCAAGTAATATAGATTATATATATTTTTTAAACTGTTCGTTTCGTTGTTTTGAGAGGGAATTTTTGTTTATTTTAAAATATAGGACAACGGAGTTGGTGTACGTGGGTTCGATTCCCACCCTAGGCATTCATTTAAATCGGCTGGTGCAAAGTGGGCAGTTTAGCTTAGTGGCCCCGCACTGACTCTGTTGTTCTTGTGTCAAAAAATTCAAGAGACCAACGCCAGGTCTCCCTACCTTTCTTTTTCTTTTCGAAGACCATATCCAACAAAACCATGGTATAATTGTGAAAATTATACCATAGATAGCTATGGTATAATTTTCAGTTATTGGGATTTATACTCTTGTTGCATTCCCATAGGTTGCATTGTACAGCTATAGGTTAAGGTATTATTTGTACCATACCACCATACAATTCCATACGCATGCACCACACCACCGTACCATACCCAATATTTGTATTCAGTCCGTACTAGTTGATGCTAGTATTAGATATATAATTTTAGAAAAGGGAAAGGATAAGTCTATTATAAACTCAGAGTATTGTCTGACAGGAAGTATCTGCCCAGCTTACACGGTACAACTCATCATGATATAATTAAAGACCAAATATTAAATTATTCCTTAATTAAGAACGAAACATTTCATGCTCTGTTGGTATCATGAAATTTTTTTTTCTCAAACAAGGTGTTACTGTACGACAGATCTAAAAATCGCTTACACGGAACAATTCATCAAATAAAGTTTCACATAAAATACCAAACCATTCCTGAATTCAGAAGTTTTAATGATAATTTGAAGTATCTTCAAAAAGAAAGTGATTATCAAGTTGAACTGAAAATAGTTAAGACGATACAACTCATCATGATAAAGTTCTAGACCAAATATCAACTTATTCCATACTATAGTGGTGGAATAATAGCAGCAAATTATTGTTGAAGGCCGTATGGTTGCCTATAATTACTTACATCCACTTCATTTGAACTCTAGTGGATAGTTGTCTCATTGGCAATCATACACATCTCCTTATTTTTATATAGGGAAAGTATTGGACAGACGAACGGATTGTCAGGGCGAGTGCAGTATACCACCCACTCTCAGAGTGGTGGTAATTATAATTAACCTATAGCTGTACAATGCAACCTATGGGAATGCAACAAGAGTATAAATCCCAATAACTGAAAATTATACCATAGCTATCTATGGTATAATTTTCACAATTATACCATGGTTTTGTTGGATATGGTCTTCGAAAAGAAAAAGAAAGGTAGGGAGACCTGGCGTTGGTCTCTTGAATTTTTTGACACAAGAACAACAGAGTCAGTGCGGGGCCACTAAGCTAAACTGCCCACTTTGCACCAGCCGATTTAAATGAATGCCTAGGGTGGGAATCGAACCCACGTACACCAACTCCGTTGTCCTATATTTTAAAATAAACAAAAATTCCCTCTCAAAACAACGAAACGAACAGTTTAAAAAATATATATAATCTATATTACTTGAAAATATCAGCTGATTTTCAGTTATTGAAATATACACTTAGATTGTATCATCATAGGTTCCATTGTACAGCTACGTGTCTAGATTTGAATTTGCCGAGGCTTTTTTTTTAAGAGGGATGGAAAAAATGGCACGCCCCTTTTAAGCAGCTTCATATATATGATAAATACATTAGACTTTTTATAACAATAATGTTGGACCGTTAAAATTAGATAGCAACTGGTTACTCAAAATGCTCAACTTTTTGTATAAATAACAGGGGCGGATCCAGCCATTTTTAAAAAAAGGGGGGGGGGGGGGTCCCAACCGAGGATAAAAGGGGGGGTTCCAACTATATGTCCCCATTCAAATGCATTGATCGTCCAAAAAAAAGGGGGGGGGGGTTCCAACCCCCCCTCTGGATTCGCCACTGAATTACCTATAATCAACATGTGCATGATTATAATCGTGATAATTTTGAAATCCCTTTTAATTAATGTATGACTTTAAAAGCTCTGGTGAAATTAATTTCCTCGTTATTAAAAATTAAGGTTTATAACCCCTTCTGTAGCCATGTGAATTACGAAATTTTCAAACTGCAATAGTCTCAAAACAGCAAAGATAATGAATAATAGAGATGGGTCATATTGTACATATACTAAGGGGTAACTTCGTGCAAAGCATTATTATTTATTGTTTCATTGCATTTAATAGAAAAAGAGGATTTTGTGGAAAATAAAACCAAGATTTTTGTAAAAAATCCACAGACTTTAATACAGAGATTTTTGATATAAAATTTTAAACATAGATTACTCACTTGTTTTTCTATGATGTTCTAGCGTTAATTGTTTACAAAAAGTCCTCAACAATCTTTAAATTAAAAAAAAACTCGTGCAGAGTCAATAAAGTCGGGCGCACCCTAGAAGGTGTACTTGAATTGGTCCATATTTATATTTGTTTTAACCAATATCTAAATTTATCAACTTGTTTTAAGGAAATCATTGCTAGCACTCCATGCAATAATCCTCTTTCTATCAAGCACCGAATTGCCAAATATGAGAGTACAAGTGGAAAGACTGGATTTTCTATAACATTTCCATATGTTTAGCATTGAATCAACACAAGGGTACATAATCCTTAATAATAAAAACAATTTAACATTTCGAACGTTGAGATGAAATAAATAATAAACAGCTGCGCCATGAGCGCATGATACGCCCGTCGTCTTGTGTGTGAATTTTTATGCAATAAGCATAAATAGTTTCTGACATACGGCGTGACATGCGAAAACCCCCTTTTTTTTTACAAAAAACTCAATATCTCTAAAATAAAATTTTGAATCAAAACCAAAAAGTATACAGATCTTTAGATTAATATAACCAAGAAGTGTGTAAAATTTTAAGCAATAATCATAAATCGTTTTTGAGATACGGCGCGACATGTGAAAACCCCCCCTTTTAAAAAAAAAAAATCAATATCTCAAAAATAAAATTTTGAATCAAAACCAAAAAGTATACAGATCTTTAGATTAATATAACTAAGAAGTGTGTAAAATTTTAAGCAATAATCATAAATCGTTTTAGAGATACGGCGCGACATGTGAAAAACCCCTCCCCTTTTTTTACAAAATACTCAATAACTCAAAAATAAAATTTTGAATCATCACCAAAAAGTATACAGATCTTAACGTTAATATAACTAAGAAGTGTGTAAAGTTTTAAGCAATAATCATAAATTGTTTTTGAGATACGGCGCGACATGTGAAAAAAAGCACACCTGTTTTAGTTACTAAGTCCCGCAACTCAAAAAAGTTTTAATCTTATTTTCACCAAAAAGTATACAGACCGTTTGACCATCATAAGAAACAACTATGTTGAAGTTTCATGAAATTTGGATAAGTCATTCTCAAGTTACGGTGCGACATGTTTACGCCGGACAGACAGACGGACAGACAGACAGACGGACAGACAGACGGACAGACAGACAGACAGACGGACAGACGCCGGACATTTGTATAACATAATACGTCCCGTCAAAAATTTGACGGGCGTATAAAAACTAACCCTAAATCTGGGATTCAAGAGAGCTTCCAAATATCAGAAAATCTGTGACTTATCTTGCGTCCATATCCAGAAAATCTAATTCCTTCGCCATGTTTTCGTCTAGATCTGTAACGTTATCCGCCACCAATGTAATTGTGCATCCTTCGGTGTCGAAAATTCAGGTCTAACTGATATTCCCGCGGTTTCAGAATCCCGTGCTTATTTAAGAAAGTAGGCGGAGCTTTGTGTGTAAGGCCAGAAAAGGGTTATTTAGCTGATTTTTATCAAAATTATTTTTAAATTAAACATACAAAAAAAATGAAGTATAAAATTTTAAACATGAAAAGATGCTATAGGTTAAAACAGATATTTCATATCTTTTGGATAGTTTTGTGGCGTTTCGTAAATTATACCATAGTTTTTGTTGAAACCCCCGGCAACCTCACTCGACCTTCGGTCTCGTGAGGTTAAGGCCGGGGCTTTCAACAAAAAGCTATGGTATAATTTACGAAACACCACAAAACTATCCAAAAGATATGAAATATCTATAACTAAGCAGTGATAGTTATCAATTCGAAGACGGAAAATGTTAACAAGTTTAAAAGATTTGATTTCCTTCAACATAAAAATCCTGAGAAAGTGTAACTGCCTCTGGAAAAGTTCTATTTTTTTACACCTGACATGACTTCTCAATTGTTTACAAACTTTTCTTGCTCTTTAATCAGTTGAATGTGAATTGGTTGTATTTCCATGATGATCAAGATAACAAAAAGCACTTAAACACCACAAAATGCTAAGAACAATACAAAATGGTCTGATCAAACTACGGAAGCCTGGGAAGAAGCAGGAAACAAATCCCAATTTCCTTAAAATTCCCAAATATTGGTGGAATGCTTGATTTTTATATATCGACTTATTGAGTTATTGCCAACACTATAGAAGAACTAAAATCACGCGTTGAAAATAATTAAAATAGAAGTCAACAAAACAGTCTCTGGTATTCTTTACACACGTTTCAATAGGTGTACTTAAACAATGACACTATTCATGTCTGATCAAAACAAATTGCTTTTAATCTGCTTGAATTATTCTTTTACCAGAGAAAATATAAGATAATTATTCATTGATTCAATATAAAGAAATTAAAGTTCATCCTGTGTATATTAGATCGGTCACTGACGTGACTTCGAACATAGATTTTTTTTTAATGTAATCAATATAACAACAACTTGTGAATTTGAATAGACAAACATTTGTTGCTGTATATCATATTTAGTTTTCGTTTATTGTTTTGCACTTAAATCAGACCGTTAATTTTTTCCTCGTTTTAATTGTTTTACATTTGTCTTTTAATTATAAGTTAAGTAGCTTACTATGGGTTATGGGTTTTGCTCATTGTTGAAGGCCGTACGTTGACCTATAGTTGTTATATTCTACGTCATTTGGTCTTTGGTGGAGAGTTGCCTCATTGGTAATTATACCACATCTTCTTATTTCTATATTGACATATTTCTTTAAGTTAAATACGATAAGAGTTGTCTAAAAGTGTCATAAATGGGTGCTTCCTAAGCCAGATAGACTTTTATTGAAATCAGTCAGTTATTGTTTTTTCTAACCTTAAGAAAAATTATGTACTACTGCTAATTAAATTTAGATTAAACATGGCGTAATAAATAAAAATCAACGAACACGTTACTAGATTCATTTTTATTATTGAATACATTTTCTACATTAGATAGATTTTTTTTTTCAATTTTACAGCCAGTTGCATATTTTTTCTTCATTAACCAGTCAATACATTTTTAACCAGGTTCTTAATCTTGACGATCTGAAATCCTTCATAGTATCAGCCAACTTTCTTGCCTTAATGCTGCTGATTCTATGAAGTCGGGATGCTATATCACTATTGTTAACACCAAAGGATTTTTTATCTGATGATCGTTGTCTCGTGTCGTCATCATTTGGACCAGGTGGTGGTTTCATGCCATTGCCATTTGGACCAGGTCTTGGTTGTTTCGTGTCATCACCATTTGGACCAGGTTTTGGTGGTCTCATGTCATTGTCATTTAGACCTGGTCTTGGTGGTCTCATGTTATTACCATTAGGACCTTGTTCACGGTTCATTTTGGATAAAGCCTTGCCTTTCAGAGCTTTGTTGAAAGATTCTAAATAAAAATTGGTATATGTTAATTTCAAGATCAATTATTGTTGTAAGATTTTTATGTATAAGGTATTTAAATATGTTCATGTTGCCGAAATTTCCATCATTGATCATTTTTCGTTTGATAATTATAATCTTTATATTCATTAAGTGAAGCTAAAATTACATTTCCCCAGTTCTGTCTAATGAAAATTATAAAACTATTTCATTGTTGCAATGTTTCAGAAAATTGAAACCAGAATATTAGATACCACTTTATCGTGGCACTAGTTCAGACAATTGATTGATTGATTGATTGATTATCTTGGTGTTGTTTGGTTTTCATTGTGACGTTGCTGTGAATTTAAACATCCCACACAGCCCATTTTGCAAGGGTTTTACTGGCAGTTGGAAGAAAACTAAGGGGATCATATTTCTATACATCAGTCACCCTTGGGGTATTCAGATATTTGAAACCAGAATATGGGTTACTTCTTGACTGTAGTAGTGTCTCAGACAATTCAGACCAAGCAAGGGTTACTTCTTGACTGTTGTAATGTTTCGGATTCTTAAAACCAGAATACGAGTGATTACTTCAATGTTATAACGTTTCAGATAACTGAAACAAGAAATCGGAGTGGCTTCTTTAATGTGGTAATGTTTAAGACAACTGAAACCAGAGTTGGAGTTACTTCTTGACTATTGTAATGTTTCAGACAATTGAGACCAAACAAGGATTACTTCTTGACTGTTGTAATGTTTCGGACTCTTAAAACCAGAATACGAGTGATTGCTTTAATGTTAAAACGTAATGTTATAACGTTTCAGATAACTGAAACAAAATATCGGAGTGGCTTCTTTAAGTGGTAATGTTTAAGACAACTGAAACCCGAATAAGAGTTACTTCTTGACTGTTTCAGACATAAATCCAGTATAAGTGACTACTTAAATAGGATAATATTTCGGACAACTAATAAATAAATAAATAAGCTTTATTTAGAGTCGGCAAGGTATACAAATAGAGACAACATAAGCTCAAATGAGCTTTTAACCGACATATCAGTATCGGAGTTACTTCTTAACTGTTGTAATGTCTTAGAAAATTGACACCAAAATAGGAGATACTTCTCGACTGTGGTAATGTCTCAGACAATTAAAACCAGATAAGAAGAACTACGTCTTGACTGTGGAAAAAGTTCAGACAATTGAAACAAGAATATATATTTACGCATTACTACGACGAACTATCAAGCTATCATGCGAAGTGCATGAAATTTCCGTTTTTGTCTTACATTTTAAGGATAAGAGTAATCTGTGTTCGGCATGTCTCTCGAAGTTTCTGTTCGCTTCTTTCATACCTTTTAATGTTTATCAGTTGTGGCAATGAGGGTCGAACAGTCCGGACAGTTGTTCTTATATATTACCGCAGCAGTCGTCTCATTCAATTTAAAAAAAAATCGAAATACACAATATTAAGAGTTTGTAAATGCAGTTTCGAAAAGGTGTAATATTAAACATTTAATTAGTTTATGTATTATATAGTTCCTCCTTACCTGGGTCGTTGTATTGACCACCGTCAATTGTCATAATTACTTCGAAGAATCGGCCAACAGTGAACATTTCTGCCACTCCCCTCGAAAGTTTTTCCAATATGGCTGCCAAGGTGTCCAAACATTCAAAATCACTATCTGTGAAAAGATATTATATGTTTATTTATGCAGGAAAAAATCTATTAAGGAGTACCATAAATACCTTCGCCATTTGTGAAAATAATGAAACTTCAATAACGATACATAAAATCTGATAGATATATAAAAAAAAGTTGTTCAACGACGCTAGTCATTTGAATTTCTTTACAATAAAACAATTCCCCTTTCAGGACAATCTTGTATATCTAGATCTCAAACTCAAGTAAAAGATGATAGTTATAAGAATGATTTATATTTCTGATTCTACGATACACATAACTGTGTTTCATTGTGCACAAGCTTTCCCCTGAAACATAATGGTTATCTAACGAGAATGGAAGGTGCTATTCAGGCGGCATGAATTATCATTTCAAAATTTCATTAGTACTATCTATCCCCATCCGGTAAAAACAAATTGTGTCTCATTTCGATATATTTTTTTTTGGTTTCCTGTTTACAACTGAACACCCATAATAGTTTGAGATGAAAAAAAACCTTCATTTGAATTTGAAGTAAATTACGAAAATAAAGGTAAAACGATGAAGAAATTCAGAGTAGACGGACCTAATGGTCAAAAATAAAGAGTATTCAACGGATCAGCAACTCTTTTGTATGGGTATAGAAAACTTGATATCTTATTATGCGACAACCGTTTGACTTTCAGTAAGGGACTGGTTACATTTATCAATTTCTGACTCTCAGTAAAGGACTGACAACATTTATCAATTTCTGACAATTTTTTTGGATGTTTTAATATGTTTAGAGTTACCTATATTTCATCATAGAACTTCTTTGGGGTCAAACTGAATAAAGCTGAAAACGACATTCTAAAACTGGTAGTAAGTGTGAGTGACTCCTCTATGTATTACAAAAAGGACGAAAAGACAGTATTAGATTTGTGCAAGGCAAACATTGATTTACCTAGCCTCATATTTCAAAGCTTTAAGTTGTTCTACAATAAACTCTCTATATGTGTCGTAAGAAAAAAAAATTTACTGTATTTATTTAGCTAAACATTAAAATTCAGTGATTAACTTTTTTTAACCAATCAATAGGTTCGATGGGTTTAATTAGTACATGTATACTAACCAGTAAGGTCACTTATATCTAATACGTTCTCTAATGTTCTTAAGCCAACCATTCCACACGTTATAATTTGTATCAATGCTCCAATCCTTGCCTCTTCGAATGTGTCGAAGCTACTGTAATTTGTTTCCATATACGCTGTAAAACAGAAAATAAAGAAATGATACCAATGTATTATGTGTTAGTTGCACAACAAGGCCATTTAAGCTTGAATCTTTCACAAAATTCGCATAATCACCTTTTCATGTCTGTACACTTTATAAATATTATAGATGACTCAAAGCCGACCTTTTGATTAATTTTTACAAATACTGTGTTTTTATCTTAAATCAAATACGAAACATATTTAAAATCCAAATACTTTCATGCTGTAATTTAATAAAAGTTATAAAGCATTTGTGATCACCTTATGCACAAGAATTAGTCACTTTTTACAGTTGTAAGTTTATATACTTACCTTCAATACAATCACCCAAGAAAAGACTTCTGGGGCCACCTGTAAGAAATCAAAAAGATTCTGATATTTTTTGTTAGATTGCATTCATTATGACAGCTATTCTTAAAGACACAGGTATCTAAAACAAAATACAAGTATTTCCCCAAAAGATATCTGTCTATTGAAAAGGGTCTGCTATGTTTTCAAAGATTGAAAACTTCCCTGTCATGTGTTAAAGCACTAACTCGACCTGATGTCAGACTAGTTGTGAACAGTGAAAACACCATGAATTATACTTTATTATTTAAAAATGACAAAACCATTAAGATATCAATGACCGTGTTCCTCATTTACACAAGCACATACAAATAAGGTTGGAGAACGTTTTTCTTACACAATCGTTAACAGATTTCAAAATCTGTAATAAAGTGGCAACATTTCAAATACATATTCAAGTCAAATTTTAGCAATAATTCATTGCAACATAACTTAGAATGTGACCTAGCGAATTAGACTTATTACTGGGTTTGTACTAACATGAGCAACACGACGGATGCCACATGTGGAGCAGGATCTGCTTATCCTTCCGGAACACCTGAGATAACCCCCAGTTTTTGGCGGGGTTCGTGTTGCTCAGTCTTTAGCTTTCTATGTTGTGTTTTGTGTACTATTGTTTGTCTGTTGGTCTTTTTCTTTTTTAGCCATGACGTTGTCAGTTTATTTTTCGACTTATGAGTTTGAATGTCCCTCTGTTATATTTCGCCTCTCTTTTAGACTGAAATTAAACATGTTTCTCCTTCAGTGAATGTTAAGGCGATTTTGGTGGTTGGTGAGATTGTTATGCTCTAAAGTTTCATCTCTCCGTTTTAGTTGTGTTGAGCTTTAGAAACACGTGTCAAAGTTACGTGTGTTTACGACAAGTTGTCGGTACAGCTACTGGTAGATATCTGAATGATATTAATGTATGACACTGGGTTTATAACTATAGTGCATTGTGGGGGGAATTGACGAGTACTCCAAGCTATATATTAAGAACTGACTTGTCACATGTGATCGGCGCTTGTCCTCGCCAAAGTTCAAATGTATCTTGATAAAATTAATTGAGCTATAAGTGCTTAAAAGCTTGTTTTCGTTATTTTTAAATAAACAACTGTAAGATTGTCTCATACTACATATACATCTATTCCCTTTCTTTGAAATTAAGCATTAAAACAATTTGTCATTTGTCGAAATAAACTTCTACTGACCTCCAACATTTGGCAGATAGGACTCCATAATCCGAAGGTGGTAGAGGATCATAATTTCCTCTTCAGTCAGATCTAGTTCTGTTGTCCAGTCATCTAATTTAAAAGATAACAAGTAACACTAGTATAAAAGGACATCATTTAAGTCTTAACTAAATGTTTGAGTCTTTAAACAGTGTTTTACACACAACAAAATACATAAAAAAACATTAACAAAAATTGTTTTCGAATAGGAAAGAATTATTTAATTTTAGTTAACGTGACAATGATTTCCAGAAAAAAGTTCTGTTTACAGATTAACTGATTAATTGATTGACTGATTGATTGATTGATTGATACATTGATTGGTGATTAACGCCACTTTCAGTACTATTTGATATTTCTTGGAGGTCAGTTTTTATTGGTCTTGGTGGAGGAAGCCGGAGTGCCCGAAGAGAACTATACAAATAATTAAAGTTTAGAGTCGGACGCACCTGCCATATGCGAGATTCAAACTCACAACCTCAAAGTTGATAAGCGAAAAGTAATATAACAAAAAAACCGAACTCCGAGGAAAATTCTAAACGGAAAGTCCCTAAGCAAATGGCAAAATCAAAAGCTCAAACACATCAAACGAATGGATTACAACTGTCATATCCCTGACTTTGTACAGGCATTTTCTTATGTAGAAAATGGTGGATTAAACCTGGTTTAATAGCTATCTAAACCTCTTACTTGTATGACAGTCGAGTGATACAGTAGTTGGTCTATTTAGACAAATTTACCACCGAGGGCCCGTTTACAGATTAATGAAAACTGACTATAACGCGACCGGACAATACTTTAACTGGCCATGGGTTTAGAATGGATATACAAGAGCAAACATCACTGGAAATACTCGGAAATAACCAATTTACGTAATGGACAGTGCCATTGTTTCCGTATTTCTTGAAAGTCTTCACTTAGTATGACTAACCTTACCGCAAATTAAGTCTTCAATATCTATCTCGAATATTAAAAAAAAATTGTCTGTATCATAATTTTTGAATATTTTGATCTTTCCTTGTAACTTAATCACTTCTCTATTGTTTTAGTCTCTGTGTGCAGCTTAAATCATCGGTATTTACTCATTACAGTCCATGATTCTTGTGACATTATGATTTAGAGTGAAAGAAAGACTATAAAACATTACAAAACGCCAAATAATATGATTATCAGCTTTTTTTAAGATAACACATGAACAATAAAAGTTTCAAGTGAATAAAAACGTAGTAAATGAAAATAAAAAACAAAAACAAAAAACCCAACACTACTTACGTCCAAGTACTTTTGTTGTTAAAGCGTCGATGTCGTTCAAGTCGTTCTGGATTGACTGAATAAATTCTTTTCTTTCCTCCACGGTTGCATTCCCTAACTCTTCCCTCAAACTTTGTCGATCATAAGCATAGTGCATGGCATTATGCAAATCAAACTCGCGATTCTATAAAAGAGAAGGTAGTAAATAATACATTGCATATGTTTATATGAGACATGGGATATATCTTATCCTTTTTAATAGAATATACTAGTAGTTTAAAATATATTATTGTTTGTATGTAAGAGTATATTTTGAATTTTCCAGATTTATTTTTTGTCAAAACGAGGTCATAGATGCTAATCTTTTAATATTTACTTACATTTCATCACAACAATTTGATAGCACATCAATTAGTTTTAAGTGTTTTAAACAGAAGGAGTAGATGACAAGGAGCCACTCGTAAGCCGTAAGTCGAATAGAAACAGACAAGTACAGGAAACATACAAAAAAACGACGAAAAGGCGAACATAACACAACTTTTAAAAAAAATGTAGTTTTCCATATGACCGTATTTGTGAGCAAATCACCACACAAATATTTGTTGTTAACCAAAAGAAAACATAAATATATCAAGTGATTTCTGTATTCGATTAGTATGTAATATGTACAAGATGTTATGCTTACCTGCATATTTCTTACTGGAGATGAATCAGACAGAAACACAAGCACTGAAAAAAGACCCACGAAATATAACTTTTTCATATTTAAAGAAGAAAAAATCTTTTCAGCACAACAAACTTAAAGTTTTCTTACTGAAGCTTTGCTATTTATACCATAGACGGCTAATAATCTAAGATGGCCATTAAAAATGTAGGCGTGTCTGAATAAAAAGTTTCCAATTTTCCTTTTCATCGCTCCCGGACATCGTGGGAACCGAATCATTAACACCTTGGGCCATTTCATAACTTTGTAATTCAAGTCAAATGGTAGTTTAGTTTTTTAAGTCCATTTACTAATGATTTGTTCGTAGATTTCTGATAGATACATCTGATTTACATGTAGCAACCTCAAAACTATAATTATAAAGTGCGACGCTTTTTCAAGCATGTTAAATTGAAGCTAATCATATTCGAAACGCTGTGTTAACTAAACCTTCATAACACACCGATTTTTTACTTTTATCTCTCAAAATGCAATGCTCTGTTTCTTTGACCGGGGTTTGTTATACCTTTTGTTGTTTTTCGTTATATTAGGAATTCAACGTTGAAGTTGGGTTTCTGATTTCCTGTGACGTCGAACATCACTGAAAAGACATTATTTGTCGAAAAGCGCATCTGATGAATTAATATTGGCACCGTTTGATGTTCTTAACTAACATTCATTAATTGTGAAAATTGCTTCCAATACTTAGAAGAACAATTTTGTTGAAATCATAATTCTATAACTTTATTGACACTTTTTTTGTTTAAAGATGAACGTTTTTTCAATTAAAGTATGCGTTGTATGTTTGCATTCTATCGCCACATGAATTTTAATACGTTCCCTGGACACATGAATTTTAACAGGTTCCCTGGTCAACAACAATTGCAAATCACATTCTCGTTGAACGTTTTAAACACACAAACACAATTATTATTCGAACAGAAATCATTGCTACTTAATAAAATAATTTAACTAATTAGAGAAAGTATATTTCCAAGGACATAGTGATCCTAGGTTATATATAAAGATAAGAAGATGTGGCATGCTTGCCAATGAGACAACTCTGCACAAAAGACCAAATGACACCATCATAGTTGAATGCTCATCATAGTTGAGTTTTACTGTGCGTATTGCTGTGTATTTGTTTTTTCTACATTGGCTAGAGGTATAGGGGGAGGGTTGAGATCTCACTAAACACAGTACGTGATATGGACGGATCTGTGGTAGAGTTGTCACTTGTTTAGACGTACTTATCAAAATAATGATTTCTGTGACTGTATCATACGATCCTTTACGATAGATAATGAGCTAATCTGCAATTATTCCCATCATCATGCCTTATTTATCATGTACTGTGTTACAACTCTAGATTCTACTGACGAGGAAAGGTAACACACGGCCAACGAAAGCTGATTTATTTACTTCAGTCTAGGTGGCCGAGTGGTCTAGAGCGATGGACACAGCGCAGGCGGTGTTGTCTCAATATCCAAATAGCATGAGTTCGAATCCCGGCGAGGGAAAAACAAAAACTGTGCTTCCGCAAATTTGCAGATTTAACATTGCTGTGCTGATATTTAGAGTAGTTATGAATATAAAATGTATGTTCAGCCGTGTATCACCTTCACTGGTGATCCAATGAATGGAGTAGTCACTTGTTTAGACGTACTTATCATATATATATATATATATAGTTGTTGGCAAGATACAGGTACGGGTTATGTTATTCTCATATATTTTATGATGGTATGATACTAAACCCCTAACGGGAGGGATTGTGCTTGATTTTCATATGATGAAGACATAATCTTTCAATCAGTTTAATTGAGGTCTGGAGCTGGTATGTCAGTAACTGCTAGAAGTCCTTTGTTAATAATTAATGTATCATTGTGCTTAGTTTCTTTTGTTACCTATTCTGACATCGGACTCGGACTTCTTTTAAACTGAGTCTTACTGTGCGTATTGCTGAGTGTTTGTTTTTTCTACATTGGCTATAGGTATAAGGAGTGGGCTGATATCTCACAAAACATGTTTAACCCCGCTGCATTTTTGCGCCTGTCCCAAGTCAGGAGGCTCTGGCCTTTGTTAGTCTTGTATGTTTTCAAATTTTAATTCATTAATATGTATTGGAGTTTAGTGTGACATCTGTTTTCACTAAACTAGTACACATTTTTGTTTAGGGGCCCTGCTGAAGCCCGCCTCCGGGTGCGGGATTTTTCGCTGTGTTCAAGACCCATCGGTGGCCTTGGGCTGTTTTCTGCTCTTTGGTCGGGTTGTTGTCTCTTTGACACATTCCCTATTTCCACATATGAATAAAAGAAGATGTGGAGTATGGTTCAGTGAGATAGCAACTCAGTGATCCTTAAAAGTGACATAACTTTAGAGATCGACAAACGGTCTTCAACAATACTTAATTATCTATACAACAGTTCAAACTCTAAATCGCTTGTATATATTTTACGTATGGAATGACATTCGTGCCACAAAATGTAAACGGAATAACATTCATCAGGTAAGCCCGAGACCAAAAGTTCGAACAGCAAAACTATGTAATTGAGTAAAAAAGAGTATTGTGCAGATATATATATGCGTGGGGCAAAATGTCCAAGATAAGATGGAAAATTACAATAAAATCATATCAAAGATATAGTGCTTTATTGCTGTTTTCTTGATAAATAGATATAAGAAGATGTGGTATGAGTGCCAATGAGACAACTCTCCATCCAAGTCAAAATTTATAAAAGTAAACCATTATAGGTCACAGTACGGTCTTCAACACGGAGCCTTGGCTCACACCGAACTGTAAGCTATAAATGGCCCCAAAAAATTACTAGTGTAAAACCATTCAAACGGGAAAACCAACGGTCTAATCTATATAAAAAACGAGAAACGAGAAACACTTATGAACCACATCAACAAACGACAACTACTGAACATCAGATTCCTGACTTAGGACAGGTGCAAACAAATGCAGCGGGTTTAAACGTTTTAATGGTACCAAACCTTCACCCTTTTTCTGAAACAATAGTGTAACATCACAACATAGAAAGACACACTATAAAATATCAACTGAAATAGCTAAACCCAATCAAAGGACATATTAACACCATTGAACATACACTGAACAAATAAATTTGACCTATGACACAATGTAAATACAAAATAAATAAACAAACTAAGGGAAGAATAATAAAAGTAACATGTTATATCGGTAAGAAATGTTAAAAAATTAAAGAAAAACAATATGCTCGAACAAAAATATCAGCCATTTGCACTAACTTTAAACACAGGTAAATGAAAATAATTTTGTTGTTAGGTATACGTGTACAGTATCAATAGAGAAAGGAAATATTTTTACAAAATAAATAATGTTGATGTTCATAGTACGAAGTGAAAATTTATAGTTATACCAAACACTTATCAAAGCTGGTATATAGACCAGATATAACCCTGAATAACATTAAATAACAAAAAAGCAATACAATTAGTATCAACAGGTCAAATAAACAAGAAAGTACGATTTGAGAGTACTAAAGACTGTATTGTTGTCAACGATGGACTTAAGAAATGTTCATTTAAAAAAATTCTTCGTCTAAAAGTTTTTGAAAGAGTAAATCTTTTATCTGCATCAAATTTTGGAATTTAATAGCGAATTTCAAATCCGACCTTCATGAACATAAAAAGAAAAAAACAAATACTAAGGTAGTATAACATTGTTTAGTACAAGTCTCGTAAGTCCGTGGTACAGCAGTACAAGTCTCGTAAGTCCATGGTACAGCAGTACAAGTCTCGTAATTCCATGGTACAGCAGTACAAGTCTCGTAAGTCCATGGTACAGCAGTACAAGTCTCGTAAGTCCATGGTACAGCAGTACAAGTCTCGTAAGTCCATGGTACAGCAGAAAAAGATATAGTTGAAGAAAAAAATAGAATCATACCGCTGGACGGTTTGATGACTACGTTTTAGGAAAAGTTAATGAGCGTTTTACAAAAGTGGTTCATTTTAATTTTATATATAATGAATGGAATGAAAGATAAGAAGATCCTATGGTTTTTTTTTAAATTGGGTAAATAATCTTAGCAGGCATTAATTTTCAATTGTGCCCAATAGTTTAAATTGTGCCTCTTTAATAGCCTCATTAATAGAACAGTTTTCTATCTTTTTCCCACGTTCATTAAGTTATTACATGGGGATTTTTACCTCATTCTGATCATAACAACATTTCCACGTTCCATTTTAGTTACATCGTCGTACCATAAATTAAGTACCTTAATATTTGGGATGAAACACATTTTTTTCTATGTTAAATAATGCACACACTAAATCTTATGCTACACATAGAACCGAATAACATATCCGATGGCTTTAGTTTATAATAATTAATAAAAATATGTGTGTGTCAATATAATGGAATTCTTTATGACTGTCATACAAGTAAGAGGTTTATCTAGATATAAAACCAGGTTTAAATCCACCACTCTCTACATAAGGAAATGCCTGTACCAAGTCAGGAGTATGACAGTCGTTTTACCATTAGTTTAATGTTTGAGCTCTGGATTTTGCCACTTGATAAGGGACTTTCCGTTTTGAGTTTTCCTTGGAGTTCGGTATTTTTGTTATTTTACTTTATACAAGAAGGGGAATATAAGAATTCTTACATATGTTTCATAAAAGAAGTGATTTCAACTCAAAATTAATTTTGTCTGTCCTTTAGGAAATTTGGTATATCTTTGGTAGTCTATGATGAAATAATTAACAACCTTTTCCGGTCAGAGAGATTAAGAGTTTGGTTGCATAGAAAATTGACTAAATATTGTGCTGACAACTATAAGTCCTTGTTTTTTTTGTCGTTGTGTTGCTGTCTCATTGATATATTCTGCATGTCTAATCTATTTTTATTCCAAGGCTTATGTTTATAGGTACATTTTATCCATCCAAACATTAATACCAAATTTATTTTTCCCGAGCAGATATGGGTTACATGTGTACGTTACAATGGCAAATTATCAAAAAAAAAGGTCAAATGTAAGTTACTCCCACACATGTGGTCAGTAATGTTTTTTTAATACTTTCGA